CACTAGAGGGCCTCCTTCAACGGTGCTCAGGGAAATGTTTGTTCATTTTCTGATGGATTGTTTGCCTTGTATCTCTGCGCCTGAGGAGTGAATCATTCATCACGTGTGTTGATGACTTATGCGACTGTGTGTTGAAAATATGTTCTTCCAGATTATCACCTGTTTTTATTGTTTCATCTAAAAATGTATTCATAGCTTGCAAGTCAAATCTGCCATTATTTCTTACTTAATGCTGTCTGGATTTGATGAATTAATTGTTCAGCCCCTCAGATGAAAGAAGTATCTGTGGTGCTTTTATCGTTTTAGTTTTGGTTTTTAGATCTTTAATCCACCTAGAATCTAGAGGGGTGGGTAATATGTAAAGTGATCATCTAACCTGAAAAATGATCGGCTAATAATGGCAGTACCATTAGCTGTCTGCACGCAGCCCATCCTCACCTCGGTGAGTTGAAAGGCCCTTATTACCCCTCGAACTCCTCCTTGCTTATTGCCGGTACTGTATTCTGTTCCGTCTATTATTATATTCCTTGTTATTTCTATAGCACATAGAGCAAGTCTCTCATTTTCGGTTTGTTATAATTTGGAATCAGCTTCTCAAGCCCATTAAAAATCCTTTTGAAACTTTTTTGGCATTTTGATTAGATTGCGTTGAATTTAAAGATTATTTGGGAGAGGACTGACGATCGTGGGCAGCTTCTCTATGCCTCTGACCAGGAGGGCACCAACGTTCTCTTTGCCTCTGATGTCATCGCCACGGGTTTCTAGTAGATTCCAGAAATGTCAGTCTCTCCTTCCTCTCCTCATTTGCCAAGGTTTATTTGTTTAGTCAAGAATGGCTTTTGTACTATCAACTATTTAGAAGCATCTATCAAGAGAGACTTACCCTTTTCCCCCTCTTTAATCTGTTCATCTGTTTCTTTATTTTAAAATATATTTTATTGATTCCAGAGAGAGGAAGGGAGAGGGAGAGAGAGAAACATCAATGATGAAAGTCATCCTTGATCGGCTGCCTCCCGAATGCCCCCTGCTGGGGATCGAGCCCGAAACCCGGGATCGATCGAACCGGGATCTCCTGGGGCCTAGGTCGAGGCTCGAAGGCTGAGCCACACCCACCAGCCTGTTCATCTGTTTCTTTTAGTCGTGAATAGATTTTTTAAAGGCTCTCTGTCCCTTTCTGGAATAATCCCTAAGTTACCGCAATGCATTCTTTCTTTAAAGGCCTTTGTCAGACTGTCCTCTGAAATTGCTTTTGTTTGCAGTGGGCTGGGTGTTTGTTTTGTTTTTCGCTTCCAGTTTTTACTCCTACCATCAGATTTCTTCTCGGGTTTGGGAGCTTTGAAGCGCGTGTTTCTCTTGAGGGAGGAGGTGTTTGGTTTCTCTCTTCTCTGTTCTCCCTCCTCCTTTCCCTCCCTGTCTCCTTCTTGCCCCTGCAGTCACCTCTCATTCTTAGTGATTTTTAACCCTTATATTTTTAACACACATTTAACCTCCATTTTCCATCAGCAGTTGGGTATAATTAACACACAGATGCCCTTGCTAAAGTTTGTGCTTAGCAAACTTTCACTTCTCCCCTCCTGTCCACCACAACTCACAGCCAACTCCCAGGGTAAAATCATCTGATTTTTGAATTTAATAGTGTCTTGTATTTATTTTCACTCTATACAGGAACTATTCTTCTTTACTTAGCTGCAAGTCTTATTGGTTTATTTTCTCTCCACCTTTTCCAGTATCACATGCTTCCTTGCTTTCTTTTTTTTTTTTCTTTCCTGAAGTACATCCTAGAGTAATTTTTTTCAAAAAATACCTAAAAAGCTTTTTTTTGCCCTTACATTTCCAAAACATTGTGGGGTTTTTCCCTTGAACGTCAAAGTAAGCTTAATTTTTTTATGATTCTAAGTTTAAACTGTTCTCTCTCCTTATTTTCAAGACATCACTGTGTATTTGGAGTTCAGGGTCACTAACTTCTTGGGAAAATTTTTGCCAACCTAACTCTTGCTACATTAAAAAGAACCTGTTTTTGTTTCTTTCGTTCTGGAAGCTTCTAGGATTACCCTTTTATTCTTGGATGACTGAAGGTTCACCAGCATGTGACTGAGTATGGCACTATTTAAAATTAATCTTACTCTTCACTAGTGAACTGTCGTCTCCTTCAAAGCCCTGTGAAGTTTTCTTCTATTTCTAATTGTATCCATTTGGGCTCACATGGAAAATCCCCAAACAACAGCAGTTTAACAATACAGAAGTTTATTTTTCACTCACGTAAAAGATGTCTAGAGATAGGCAGCCTCAGGCTGGTATGGCTGCCCCACAGTGAAAAGAAGGATCCAAGTTTCTCTCTTTCTGTGGCATGTGGCTTTCATCCTCAAGGTAACTCTGTGGTCCAAAGTAGCTGCTGGAGCTCCAGCCATCACTTCCAAGTAGCAGGTGGGAAAAAGGAGGAAAGGTAGGAGGACCTCTCCCACCGGAGCCAACTCCCTTTAAACAGCCTTTTTGGAGAGCACATCCAATGTTTCCACTTGTATCTCCCTGGATTACATTTAGTCATATGGCCACACCTAATGCTAGAAGTCTACAGGAAATACAGTCTTTTATTCTGCGCAGCAAAAGGTCCAGATAAAACCTGAACTTCTGTTACCAAGGAAGAAAGGGGGAGCTAGTTGGCTGACACCATCTGCCATGCCTACCTCTGTCCTCTGCTTCCAGATGTTGGAGCTCCTGGATTTCTTCTCCAGGCCTCCACTTTTCTCTAAGACGATCCCTCTCCTTGCCCATTTGCTCCGTCTTCAACACGTAGCATCACGGCACAGTCATTTGTAGCAGTCATTCTGTAATATGGCCCATTACTGAGTGTATTTTTTAATTATGGATTTTTTTTTTTACCACCAAATTCCAAGATCTCTATTTATTTATTCTTTGCATAGCAGTCTGTTCTTTTAAAAGGCTATGATTTCTCAAATCTCCCCGAGGACACTAAATGAGATGTTTTAAAGTTTTGTTTTGGCTTTGGCCGGGTGGCTCAGTTGGTTGAGCATTGTCTAGTAAACCCAAAGGTCGCCAGTTCGATTCCCAGTCAGGACACATACCTAGGTTGCAGGTTCGATCCTAGGTCAGGGAGATGGGAAGCAACCGACCAATGTTTCTCTTTCTATCTCTCTCTAAACATATCTTTAGGTGAGGATTTAAAAAAGAGTTTTGTTTTGTTTTGCCTGTATTTATGCAAGTCTATAGAAATGTGTGTTGGGTCACATACATCACAATAGACACGTATGGTACCAAGGTGCCAGGCCGAGGCGACAGTGGGGCTGGAGCCCATGAAGCAGGGCCCCTCTACAACCTACTGGTGTAGTGGCTGAGAGTGCAGACTCCAGTGCCCACCTGCTGTGGCCTTCGGTCCCAGCCTGTCCTTCACTAGCTGTATGACTGTGGCCCATCTACCGGTTTCCTGCCTATAAAGTGCGGGTTCTAGCAGTAACCCACATATTCATGTATTCATATCCATAAAGCCCTTTGAACCCAGCTGGCTCGCGGTGAGCATTTTATCTTTGTTAGCCACTAATATGAATTTTCTGCCTGTGTGGATTTTATGCTTGTGTTCTTTGATGACATTAATTTGTTTTAACCATTTACAATGTAAACATAGTAATCTGTTCTTCATAATTTTGCTGCAAACATTTCTCTTTTGTGCTTTGTCCTTTGCTTTATGGTCTGGTTATTTTTATAAAATATAGAAGATTTTCCTTTTATGTACTTCTGTCAGCCTTCGTCTCTGATTTCTTCCATTGTGTTTAAGCTTGAATAGTTTAAAGGCATTCATTTCTATGGTTTGCCAGTTTAATATGCTTCGACTTCTCCCATTGAATTTTTTTTTAATCCTTACCTGAGGATATTTTTTCCATTGCTTTTCAAAGTGTGTGGAAGAGAGAGAGAAAGAGAGACAGAGACAGAGACAGAGAGATGTGAGAGAGACACATCGATTGGTTGCCTCCCACACGGGCCCCAACCAAGGCCGGGGATGGAGCCTGCAACCGAGGTTCATGCCCTTGGCCAGAATCAAACCCGAGACCCTTCAGTCCGAGGGCCAAAGCTCTAACCACTGAGCCAGACCGGCCAGGGCCCATTTAGATGTTCAAGCAGCCCGATATTTGGGGAATGGTGTGAGGGGCAGGGATTGAGCTGATCTGTTTTACGTTCCCCGAGCATCTTAGCATGTTTTCTTACTCCATCGCTGTACGCTCATTCCCAGTTCCTCCATCATTCAGCACATCCTTGGTAAAACAGTTTGTCTGCCCGCTGATCTATCCTGTCTGTGTGTGTGTGTGTGTGTGTGCGCGCGTGCACATGCTCTCCTGCAACTCGAGTGAGGTTTCAGACTATTTTCCTAGGGATGAAAAGAGGAAATCCCCGGCCTCTTGCCGAGAAAAGGGAAATGGCATTCAGAGAGCGGTGTGGGAGGAATGCCAGGAAATGGGGCAGAGGTGGGGAGAGCACCAGGCCCCGAGTGTGTGAGTGTACACCTGATCACACCCAGGGGAGGGCACTGTCCCCACCACCCAGTGACTCCCCAAAGCAGATGTAGGTCAGTAGCCCATGGGGAACTCAAAATAATACTAGGCCTCCCTCTCTGGTTTTCCCACCACCCGGGCTCTGCACGGGGGAGCCCGACACCTGACCCAGTGGAAACCCATTTCTTCAGAGGCCATGAGAGTACCTCCCTCCTGGTCACACTGGAGGACACTGAGTCTAAGGGGAAGGGACGGTCCAAGGTGCCAGGCCGAGGCCACAGTGGGAGATGGAGCCCATGAAGCAGAGCCACTCTTGGATTCATCCTAAAAGTGGGCAGAGTCCCTGGGGATGCAGGACTGGGAGGGGCAGCTCCCAGATGTCATTTCCTCTACAGGCCTAGAGAAGGCAGAACCCTGCAGGGAAGATTCACAGGAGCAGCTGACATGGGTCTGGCCTGGCCCCCAACTCGGAAAGAACACAGGATTCCAGGCCAGTGAGGACCTGGCCCCTGCCCAGACCTGCGCCCACCCGTGCTGGCCCCTGCTCGCCCACAGCTGACGGGGAGATGGCGCTGGCCTGGTGCCTGCTCCCCATCGCCCTGCTCACCCTGAGCCAGGAGTCCAGCATGGCAGAGGCCCAAGGTGAGCCCGACCGCTCCCTCCCCTCTCTCTCCTCTTCCCAGCCCCCCTCCTCCCTGGGACCGTTGGGTGAAGCTGTCCACCACATATCCCCCAGAAAGCCCCAGACCCCAGAGGCTCCCCCTCCCTGCCCACGTTTCTCAGGGTGGCATTCAAGGCCTCTGACCTCCAGGCCGGCCCTTCCAGCCTTTTTCCTGCCCCTTCTCTCCCCCACCCCCAACTCTGCGCCTCTGACGTGGCCTTGACCGATTCCTGCTTCCCTGGGCCTCAGCCTGGCGGCCTCTCCCTGCTTTGTATTCTCCAGCAACTTCCTGGTGCTTGGAGGCCCAGCTGGGGTGCTCCTGGGGCGCATGCACCCCACTCCCCAAGGGCTCCCAGAGAACTTGGCATCTCTGATAACTGTGGGAACCACATTCCCTTTTCCAACCCACAGGCCTGGCAGCTGGCCAAGGACACAGGCAGGAGGTCCCCCGTGCTGGGCACCCAGGAGAGGCTGGGAGGGATGGTGACAAGGGGCATCTAGAGGGGAAAGGTGTGATCCCTTCTTGCCTTTCTCGGGTCAGGGACCGTCCCGCTGCAGACCCTGAGCTGCCATAACGACTACACCAGCCGCATCATCTGCAGGTGGGCTGACACCGAGGACGCCCAGCAGGTCATCAACGTGACCCTCCACCGCAGGCTGAATAAGTGAGTGACGCTGGGGCTGGAGGGCATGGAGGGAGCTGGAGGGCAGGCAGGGGCTGCGGTGTGGGGCTGTGCCAGGAAAGACCTGGACAGAGAACAGAGGAGGGAGGCCCCTGCCCAGGAGCTCCTGCTCCTTCAGGTGGCCACCAGGCCCGGGTGCTGGTGACCGATGCCAGGGTTTCTGGGAAGAGCGTCTGTGTAACTGTTGCTGATGATGGTGATGATCTTCTTTTATTTTCTCACAGTTTAACAAAATCACCCCGCATACCTTCCATTGTAGAGGTGGGCATGGTGGGGATAAGATGCCCACCCAGTTCACAGATGAGAAAACTGAGGCTGTGGAGCTGAGGTCCCTCACCCCCACCACCTGCTGGCCAACACCTGCGTCTGGCCTGCCAGCTGGGCTCCATGTGTCCCCAAGCCCTGAAGCCTCCAGGTGGAGGAGTTTGTCCTTTCCCCTCGAGTGGTCTCTGGGGAATATGCCTTTCGGGGAGATACCTCGCACCATGCTGGGGTTTGGTGAGAGTGGAACTCACAGTAATAGAAATAATTAAACAGCTGGGGTCACGGGTTCAAGGATCCTCCCAGGACTCCCTGGGAGGAGCCACTGTCACCCACCAGCATGGCTGTTCAGCTCTCTCCTGCTCTCCTGGGAGCCTCTGTACGTCTCTCTCTCCCCTCCTCATTCCCACTGCACCCCCCGCCCTTGCCTGTGACCTGCTTCCTCCTGTGCTGAGACACCAGACTCCACGGAAGGGAGGCCCTCTCCTGCCCCCCCACACTCTGCTGGGCCGCACACCACCGCCTCCTTGGGTCCGCCTGCCCTGATTTCCTGCAGTGACTTTGCAGCCGGTGTCCCATTCGGTCTTGCTGCTCAAGAACATCACTGTCTCTACGGTCTCTACTCTTTCCTGTGCCATGGATGGGCCCTCCCCTGAGATCATTCACAATCACTAAGCTGAAGTACCCAACCCCCACTTACAGTTGCCGAGAAGGGGTGCAGCTCTGGGGCCTCTCCTGACCCCATCTCCTCCAGCCCAGACCCACCCGCTGCCCCTCTTTGTAGCAACGTGCCTCTAAAGAGTTGTCCAGACCCGATGGCCCGGGTCTCTCCAGTTACTCTCTCCTGATCCTACTCCCCGGATTCTGCTGCCCCCAGCAGGCCGCCCAAACCGCTCCTGCTGAAGTCAGCAAAGCTCTTGCCAGCGCTAAGCCTAAGGGCCCCTCTGAGCCCTCTCCCTCCTTGACCTGGAGCGCACCTGACTTGGACCCACCGCGGTGTCCTCCTAACGCACTTCTTTCTCCTGACTTCTGGTCACCACACTCACCCTTGTGTCCCCGGCCCATCCTTTCTGTCTCCTTGTCCAGCTCCCTTTTTGGTTTTGAACTTGAAGGGTGAGATGCCCCAGGGCTCAGTCCTCCACTCTTATAACGTGGCCCAGTGGCAGAGATACACCTCAGGCTCTGGGCCTCCACTGTTCTCCCCAGCTCAGACCTCCCCCGAAGCTGCACACCAACAGGGGTACTTGCCTCTCCACCCCATCCCTCAGAAAATAGGTGTCTTCAACCCTAAACATCCTAAACCCAATTCCTGCTCTGCCCCCGGAAGACCACGCCTGCTCCAGGCTTCCCACCTCCCTTCACTTACGTGAATCTGGCCAATGCTAACACAATCACCCTGGGTCAGACCATTTCCTATCACTTGGGATATTCAGAAGCCTCCTGACTGGTCCTTCTGCTTCCAGTATTGCCAGCCCCCCTCAAACCAATCTGTCCACAACCCAGCAGCCAGAGGAATCCTTTCAAAGCATATGTCAGAATATGTCACTCCTTGGCTCATAACTCTAAATTTCCCCACTTACAGAGAAATCCAAATTCCTTAAATTCCTTTTAAGTGTTGACCTCCTGTCACCTCACTCAATTAGCCTCCTCGGCCTCCCAGCCTCACATACTCTATTCCATGCACAATGTTTCACTGCCTGGTCACTCAACACTACAAATCCGAGCCTGCCCCAGGGCCTTTTCACTTGCTATTGCAATTACTAGAAATCCCCTTTCCCCAGAATTCACATGGCTCCTCCCCCACTTCCTTCAAGTTTCTACTCAAATGTCACCTTTTTCAGGAGTCCTTCCCTGTCTCCCCTCTTTCAAATTGCACCCCCACTCCTGGCCTCCTTATCACCCTTTCCTGCTGCCCTTGTCTGCATAAAGTTTTCTCTGTTTGACACGCGATTAGTTTCATCCAGCTGTTTCATGTGTGTCTCCCTCCAGCAGACGCTGGCTCTGGGGGCAGGGACCTGTGTGTTTTGTTCACTGCCCGGCCGCCTGGCCCTGGGCAAAGCCTCACACCTGGGAGCCGCCCAGTAATGTTGCGAATGAGCAGTTCTTCAGTCCAGACTGACCTGCGTCCTCTCCTGGCAGGTCCCCCCCGCAGCCAGTATCCTGTGATCTCAGTGACGACATGCCCTGGTCCGACTGCCCTTCTCCCCGCTGTGTGCCCAGAAAATGTGTCATTCCCTACAAGCTGTTTGTCATTGCCGACCAGGACAGCTTCTCATTCCAACCGGACAGGCCTCTGGGCACCCAGCTCACCGTTGTTCTGACCCAGCATGGTGAGGCTTGGGGCCCTTGTCTGGGGGTGGCCCCCAGTGTGGACAGTGGGCCCCGGGGGGGGGGTCAGACTGCAGAGGGAGTGAGAGTCTTCAAGGGGTAGAGACATTGGCCTAGGGTTGGATTTGGTCTCTTGAGGGGACAGAATATGGTCGCCTTATGATGGAGGTGTTGGAGCCGGTGCAATGTGAGGAGCCCCTGGCTAAAGGCGCCCCCGCCGGGCCCTGGCTGCTCCACGACCTGCCGAGCCACTGCCTCCAGCACTGAAGCGTCCCTTCTAGATGAAGCATTCACATAAACACTTACCAGTTTAAGAGACTCCTTTGTCTTTATTGTCTCATCCAATGTCTGCAACGACCCATCTTTCAGATGAGGTGCTTGAGACCCACAGAGGTTTCGTAACTTTTCAAAGTGCCACCACTGAGCAGAAGTGACAATTCTGGGTCAGTCACTTGACAGACTTGCCAAGTGTTTCCTGCATGTTAGATGGAGCTCACCACCTTATAGGTCAACGTCAAGGCGATGGGAAGCCATTGAGGGGGCATGACATGGTCAGATGAGGGTGTGACGATGCCAGAGGGGGTGATATACTGGGGAGATGGTGGAGGATAGAGGCAGGACACTGGGGCCCAGAATGTGACCTAAGGCCTTAATCCCATGGAGAAATGAGGAGTTAACTGGGATGTGGCCAGGGGATGCGGACATGGGAGTACAAGTCAGGGTCAGGGTGTGCGTGCAATTTGCCCCTTCCCCCGTTCCCCAGTGGAGCACTACGTACAGCAGGAAGGCAGTGAATGGGCCTGGAAGGACCCCACCCTTGTGAAGCTTATGGCCTGGTAACAGGAAAGGCATCACAGTGGACATGGGGACACCATAAAAATGGGGAGGCGAGGAGGACATTTGCCTCCTGGAGCATTTGTTAGTTGGGAAGTCAGCTCCACCCCAACCATTAAGGCAATGAGTCAGGGAGGCTGAGGTACCGGGAGAGGACAGGTGGGCATCTGATCTGCTTGAGGCTCCCACATGTGGAGATCTGGATGCTTTATTCTCTCGATCAGTTTCTCCATCTGTGAAATGGGCTGGTGGACTAAAATCTCTCAGGCTGGGTGAATAGGTTTTCTGTTGGGTTCCCAGTCAGTTCAGTTGGTAGCAGCTTCCTAGAGCTCCGTGCTGAGAGGGACTCCACTCCATGAAGCCTCAGGGGCCAAGTGCAGCGATTGGTTAGTGATGCCTGGTGTGAGTGGGGCCAGGAAAGAGGTGTCCTGCCTGGCCTGAAGATGTTCTGAAGGCCCCAGCTCTGACATGCTCTAACACGCCGAGCTCCATGTGCAGCATAGAATATTTACATCCTGTTTGCTCTTACCGAATTCTTTGTGCTGGAATGTCAGCCCTGGGCATTCAGGAGGGCAGGAGCCATGCCATTCATTCATTAACGAATCTGCTTGCCCGGCCCTGTAGCTTCCAACAGAGGCATGCTTGCTGCTGCTTGATGAAATGATTTCATGGAGAGTCTCTAGAGGTTGCCTACATGTCTCCATTCATTTCTCCATTCACTTTGTCCCCCAAATTCACTAAACCACTACATCTCAGGCCTGCGGGAGTGGGAAGGGGATCAAGACCCAAAACCTGCCACCCCGCAAGCTCCCTGACAGCTTGGGGAGGCAGATGTGGAAACACATTAGCTCACCAGGTAAGGACCACACGATTGGCTAGGTGGGACTGGGGAAGGAGCAAAGATTCTGCCTGGGGGTATCCAAGAAGGTTCTAGAGGAGGAGACTTTTATGACGGGCACTGGAGGTGCAGGACATTGGGCAGGTGGGAAGGGGAAGGAGAATGGACACCACAGAGGAGTAACATGGGCCACAGTGCCCTCTGCTGGGTCGGAGGTGCCACACAGGCGACATCCTGGGTCGTGGGCACCTGGGGACAGAGGGAGGCTGCATGTAGAGTGTAATTGTCAGCACCTTGTATGGAGCTTGTGTTATATGTGCACAGCTGTCTGCACAGCCGTCATTCACAGTCACACTGAATCCCTCCATTCAGCAGATGAAGGTCCTGAAGCCCACAGAGGACTGGGGTCTTGTCCAAGATCGGTCAGCTGGTGGGGCAGCGCTCCTCCTGGAACCCCAGGCTGTCCACACAAAGGCCATGCAGCCCCTCACAGACCCCTGACTTCCTCTCCCACAGTGCAGCCCCCCGCACCTAAGGACCTCCACGTCAGTGCTGCCGGAGACCGGTTCCTGCTGACCTGGAATGTGACTCTCGAGGGTTCCCAGAGCCAGTGGCTATCAAACCTGGAGTTCGAGGTGTTCTACAGGCGGCTTCAGGACTCCTGGGAGGTAGGGACCTCAGCCAGCTCTGCCCAGAGCCCACAGGGACCCAGCCCAGCCGGCACCTGCTCCAACAGCGCCTCTCTCCCGACAGGATGCCTCCACCCTCTACTCCGCCATCCCGCAGGCCGACCTGGGGCCAGAGCACCTCATGCCCAGCAGCACCTATGTGGCCCGAGTGCGCACCCGGCTGGGCCCAGGCTCAGGGCTCTCGGGCCGGCCCAGCCAATGGAGCTCGGAGGTCCTTTGGGACTCCCAGCCAGGTAAGGGAGTGGAGTGGGGATGACACCCTTCTGTGGGGAGGGCACCTCATTGCAGTTCCTGGACAAAAGGAGTCTGGGGGTCCACACTGCAGGTTCCACCAGCCTCTGTGCCATGTACTTAGAGGCGCCACCAACCTCTGTGCCATGTACTTAGAGGCGCCTCCCAGGCCCACCTGCCCATGTGACTCCACAGAGGCAGCCCAGCATCAGGCTCACTCTGGGCCCGGTGTCCGCACTTTCTGCCCAGGAATCACTGCAGCAGTGGTCCCTGCGGTGCTCTGAGCGGCTGTTTCCCCGAGAGCTGCACCACGTGCAAACCAACCACCATTCTTGTGTCAAATCCTCAAGCCCTGAAACTAGACGCTGCCCCCATTCCATAAGGGGCATGAAGGTTCACAGGATTTACTCTCTGACCTGTGGTCACACAGCTGGCAGGCTCAGGCTGGAGCCTAACCCCTGGTCTGGGCCCCAAAGCCCAGGCTCTCCCTGTGATGAGTCTCATGGTGGGCAGCTACTGAGAGCTGGGACTGAATGAAGGAGGGAACGAGTGAGGGACTGTCTCCCTCCCAGGGGACAAGGCCCAGCCCCAGAACCTCCAGTGCTTCTTTGATGGGGGCACTGAGCTCAGCTGCTCCTGGGAAGTGAGGCTCGAGGTGACCAGCTCTCTCTCCTTCACCCTCTTCTACAAGTCCAGCCCCAGCGCAGGGTGAGTGTCCCCTTCCCTCCCCTAGGCCTTGCCCTCTCCAGGCCTTCTCCTGCCCATGGGTGCCCAGCAGCGGCCACAGCTCGCCTCGGCCCCCATAGGCCCTGCCTCCTCCCGCCCTCACTTCTGCTATGGCCCTCAGGGAGCAAGAATGCCACCCGGTGCTGAAGGAGGCCAGCGGCCCCTATGTCCGACACCGGTGCCAGGTTCCCGTGGTCGATCCCTGGAACCACAGCCAGTACATCGTCTCTGTTCGGCCAAAGGAGGAAGAGAAGTTTATAAAGAGCTCAGACCACAGTGAGTTTGCCCCCAGCCCTCTTGGGGGCTG